AGTTTCAGGGCTGTTGGCTTTACACAGGGTGGTTAAGGAGGCAATATTTGAACAGAAAAATGAAACACATAAGAGAGCCAGTCGTGGGAACATCTGGAGGAAGATTATTTCCGGGCACAGAAACAGCAAGGGTGCAAAGACCCCGAGGCAGGAGTGAGTTTCCAGTATCTTAAGGAACAGAAAAAAGGTCAAGATGATTAGAATAGAGTGAATGATACAGCAGTTCTTTAAAGTGTTCACTTCACTCTTTGTGGGAGGCAAGAGAATTTTATGCTACCGAGAACCTCAGGACTTCCTGTGCCATGTCACACAATAACACATCACCCCGTACAGAATATTCTCCAAGGGAATTAGGGAAAAGCCAAAACAGTTCCCATCTGATAATCACTCAAAGGGACATGGAGAAATACTTTTATCTTCAGCAGTCAGTGTTCTGATTCAGAAAAATTAAATATGACAGCAGATACATCATATATTCTCAAATAACCACGCTGTGCCCATCTCAAGCCATCTAAATGCAGCACAAACTGGGGACAGGAAGTCTAAGATGCTTACCTTACAGTCACTGATGCTGCCGTGCACCTGGCTAAATTCTCGGTTGAAAGTGTGGGTGAGAAGCTGCAGGCACTAGGGAAGAGAGAGAGAGAGAGAAGCATAAGTTCCAGTGGCCAAATGAAACCCCGGATGTGAGGCAGGAAGGGACGACAACATGCCTAAGACCTTCCGTGGGGCAGAGATACTGCCCAAACAGCTCTAGAAATTAACTAAGCACATAGCAAGGAAAGCTTGGTGTACGCCAATGAAGAAGATAAATAAGTCACTAAAAAAAGCATCGTCAAGTCAAAAATGAATACCACGAACACCACTATTTGGAAGTGCTTAAGAATGCAAAGGCTTTGTTTTCATTCTTGATTCACCCTGGCACTGAAGGCATGGAGACTTCGGGAAGGACATACTTTCCTAAATCAACCAGAAGACCATTTATTCAATTATTGAAACGAGAGACACGAACTCCCTCTCATTTCTGTTTTTGTTGTCAGCCAGCTGCCCAAACACCACCTGCCTGGGCATCGTCCTCAACCCCCGACTCCCCAGCCTCGGCGACAAGAGGGCTGATTCTACTTTCCAGATCTCTTCCGTGATGCTCCTTCCCCTTGGGCCCACCTTAGTTAAAAACCTTTATTATTTCCATCTGGATCACTGCAATAAAGACTTCTGTCTCTAGTCTATCTCTTCACTACAAATCCATCCTCTTCACTGCTTCTGGAGAAGTCTCTCTAAAACATAAATACCTATTTAAAATATGTCCACATCACTACTAGGACACTCTAAACCCTCTAGGGCAGTGCACAGAGCCTTCGCAATGTGGCCCTGACCCGCCTCCTGTCCCTCTCCCCCAGGACTCCCTAACACCGATCATGCCAGGCACGCGGGCGCCCCCGCGGGCACCCTGCTACACACCAGCCGCCCCTGCGCAGGCCTCTCCTCTGGCGCCCACAGGCTTTGCACATTCTCCGCCATTATATGCTAGTCACCCACTTGTCTGTAAGCTTATTAAAGGTACAAATGGAGTCTTATTAATTCCAAAATCATAGTGTTAGTGTTAGTGCATGCCTTAAAACAGAGGTCCTTAAAGGTGAAATTAAAAAGCGGACAGACCAGCCTAGTCTCACTGGGAGAACGCTCAGCCACGGGAAGGGGGGTCGCACCTTGGTAGCCAGCTCTTTCTCTCGATCCACCAGGCTTTCGATGTCTGCTGAGTCGTAGCCACTGCTCTCACTGGGAGTGATGGCGCTTTCAAAGGTGGTGGTTGAGATCTGGGAGGAGATGCTGGTGGAGGTGCTGAGGGTCCCACTGCTGAGGCTGGGGGACAACGAGTCGCTCAGGGATTTGGGGATGCTGTCACCAAGTCTCTCACGCAGCAGCAGGAAGTGGCGGGTTTTCTCCACCTAAGATGACCAAAACTACTGCGTCAGCGAACACAAAGCTCATTACGATTTTAACAAGTACTACACCGCAGCGTGACCGCAAACTGCAAAGCCAGGGTCACAGAGAGGAGGTGAGCAGGTGACTGATACTTTGGGAATCCTGCCCGAGTTGGTCTGGGCGCCCCTGGCCCTGGCATACCTCGTGCAGGAGCTCCAGCTTCTCCAGCTCCCACTGGTGCTCAAGGATAAGGCTGTCCCCACGGGGCCGCCAGCCGGCTAAGTTCTCCTCTCCCCGCACGTACGCCACTGACGTATCCAAGATTTTTCTTCTCCTCCTCTGCATGCCTGAGACAAGAAGAAACAATTCTTTTTTTAAGAGAAAAATCCAATTCCAATTCTACCTAAAACTGAATTAATAATTCACATGTATGGCAAACTAAGACAGTCTGGTCTCAAGATACATGAGGTTTTGTAAAGAACAATTTGTCCCTTTTTTCTTAAAGCAACTCTAAATTGTTTTTAAAACTGAGTTTTATATTCTTTGACAAGAAGACTACACAGAAACTTGAGAACATGCCAAAGTTATTATGTTCGTGAAAATATACAGGAGATTAAGTAGTCTGTATACTCTGATTCCAAACATATAAAAACACACCTGTATGAAAAAAGTGGGCCAGGACTACACACCCGCACGCACATAGACGCCCACATTTTAGTAGTGCAGTTAGAATGGCAGATGACATATGGCTTTAGCCCCCATCATTTCTCATATATCTTAAAAACGTTATACTGTTTTTACATATAAAAGACATAAATTTATGTTAATTTAAAAAATTCCTTAAGATACCATCTGGACACTAAAATTAGCTGCTACTGGGGTTTAAATTCATACTTGGTCTTCTTCATTTCTTAATTTTTAAAAAATTTTTATTTATTTTTTTATGATGACATTGCTTAACGGAATCCAATAAGTTTCAGCTGTACACTTTAACAGGCAGGCATATATATATTTACATTGTGTGTTCACCTCCCATAGCTAGATTTCTTTCTGTCACCATGTTATTTGACCCCCTTTACCCATCTACCTCTCCCCACCCCCAGTCTTGTTTTTAATCAAAATATTTCCTGTGTGCCCTGACTTTATTCCATATATATTCTCTAAAATGATTCACACTCACGTTAATCAAATTTTTTTTAAAACCCTGACTTTTGTTCATGTTCCAGTTTACAAACATAAAAATGCAAAGTGCTGCTTAAGGCCACTGAGCTGGAAGGACAACAGAAGCCCAAAAAGACATCAAGAAGGACACAGAACAAGTCAACTTAATAATTTCTGTTTCTAGGGCACAGGAAGTTGAAATTCCAGTTTGACAGGACCTGCAAAGTCAGACTGCCAAGTTATCTTTGGGGCTAAGGTGGAGAGGGAAATGGTTATGAAGATCTCCAAGCCAAATTCATTCTAATACACTCGAATTTTTTATAATATTCCAAAGCCCAGTAACACTTTGTTTGATTAAAGTTGTTATAATTGTATTGTACGCCACAAACCCAACAGTGTTGCAACTCGGAAAAAGATAATTCCCACCACCAAAAACCTGGTTTGTAAAATATGTCTTGTTTCTAAAAAATTTTATATCTATCCTACATGGGTAGGATACATTTCTGCCATAATAATACTTCAAACATAGACAAAGACAACCATCACCTTCCCGATTCGTGAGCGCTTACCTGGACTACCTGTGTCTGCCATTTTGCATAAACTGAGTTCATAAATTCCACTGACTCGATTGCTGTTTGAATTAAAACAAACAATTCGTTAATTTTTTTGCAGCACAAAAACAGGACAATCTCAATTCTCTCTACACTGTCTCCTCGGTAGGGACTGCAAGCCATCCTCAAATGGAACTATCTTATTTCTTTTCCTATTCTGAACTTAAGTGTATTTTTTTCTATAAGAAATCTGTTTTCATCTTAATCTTTTGAACGTTCTTACTTTAAAAAGACGAATAAAAATGAGTGAAAACCTAAATAGTTTATTATTTAAATATAAAAATTAAAAATTTGCCTTTTCTTACTGCAAGACAGAAGATATTATGGTAGGGGGATGTCTGACTAGAATGGAACAATGAACATCAAAATCTGGGGAGCATGTTTAGGATTACCTGGGTACTGAACCTTCTACTGTATTAGTAATATTTATTTTTTATGCTGAGTGGTGATGCATAAGTATTCACTATTATTCTTGATGTCTTTTTGTATGTCTTAAATATGAATAAATCTTTAAAATAAGAAAATCCCAATGGTAATCTGTTAGAAACAATAATGATGACATTAAAAACAAAATTTAGTCCCTGTAAAACTGTTTTAGAAGTGTTCACAATGTATTTCGCCTTCTTTCATTAACTCGTCTATCCGTCAATATTTTGTTAAATGCCAGCATTCAAGTTACTGCATTCCAGGTGTCAGGACCATAATGGTTTAGAGCAGGGGTCTGCAACCCCCAAGCAGCGGGTGAGCCAGTGAAGCTTCACCTGTATTTGCAGCTGCTCCCCAGCGCTGGCATCGCTGCTTCAGCTCCACCTTGGTCATGTGGCATTAGATGCTCATAAGAGCACCGGTCCCTGGTGCCACAAAGGTTGGGGACCGCTGGTTTACAGGTTGTAAACTAACCTTTTCTGACACAGCAAGCCAGGGACACCGAGTGCTCTGCTGATTCTACACTGGGCAAACCAACTAGAAGCTAAATCGTCTGAAAAACTTACGAGTCTGGCGACTTCGAGTAGCCACTGCCAAAGAGGCTGCGCAGAGAGCGGGGCGGCGAGATCCTGGCGTCCCGGGAATAGAAGACCATGCACACGTCCTTGGTGATGACAGCCGGCTGGATGCAGTGATCCAGCTGAAAGCAGATGCGAGCGGGCTCCGTCAGATGCAGACAGAGCACCTAATGTAGTGACAGGTGTGTGCGCCACCACAGCTGGAGCGCTGGCCCTAGGTGTGGGCAAGATTAGGTGGTGCTCCTTGCAGGTGCATTTATTTTTCACAAATTTTTCCAAAGTTTTTTTCTGTAATAATGGCTAATATGCATTACTTATGTGCCAAGCAGTGTTCTAAATCCTTTTATGTGACATCTAAACAACTTTCAGAGGTGAGTGCTATTATTATTACCCCTGATCGAGGCACAGAGAGATGAAGTCGCCTGACCAAGGACAGGCAGGCAGTAAGTGGCAGCATTGGGATTTGAACTCAGGCTGTTTCCAGAATCTGTGCCGTTAACCACTACTAGGCTCTGTCCACAACTACAAAATCGAGAGGTGAAGTTTTTTTAAAAATCACACATTCTTTGAAGAATGGTGATTAGGCTACAAAAGCTGAGACTATAATACAAGTCATGTGACTTTCTGATTAGAGACTAGCAACAGAATGTAATATAACCAGAACAGTCGGCAAAGTATAATAACTAAGGGTGTGGCGGGAGAAAGGAGGACAAACTCAGCCGACTTTCCTCTCCGCTTCCTGCTGCAACCTGCTGGTGCTCCAGGGCTGGGTTTCCTCACCTCTAGGTAGGCTGACAAGGTCATGTAGATCTTCTCTCCGTATGGTGTCACTCGGTTCAGAAGGAGGGAGTTATGCAGGGAGCTGTCCCACACGGCCTCGAAACGGTAGAAAGTCCTAAGGTCAGAAAGACAACAGGGCGTCATCCAAAAGAAGCCAAGTCACTTTAGGCCACGTACTGTCGTACTGTCATCCTCAGTAATACCATGGAATCCTGCACCAATACACACTCTCGATTTATTGAAATCTAACAACAGAGCAGAACCTTGACCTCTAGAAGGAAAAGGTAGTCATCAAGGAGCACTTAGCTACGCTATTTTTTTTGTTGGAGGGTGGGGGAGACAAGCCTGTTTCTTCTCTGGCTACACAAAAATAGTGAGATCAACCAAAGGGATTCAGATGAAAAGGATAACTGAGTATGGGCAGAAACGAAAAAGAAAGGCTAGGCTCTTCAGCCAGTCAACGATGGGAAGAGGAAGCGAACGCTCGGTAATTCGTAAGCTGCAGTCTCCCTATCACAATCTAGTCTTCTGAGCCTCAGAAATGTCACAAACATGTCTGGAGAATTAATGGAGGAAGCAGTATAGACAGCCTTGTTTTAAAAACAACAACAAAAAAAACCCCAAAAAATAAGAGGTTATTTTTAGCTGACGTTTCATTAAAAGAGAATGATTTTTAACACCAGAGCTAGCCAACTATTTGTCAGTTTTCCAAAAAATTCACTTGAAAATCAATCTTACATTTAAACAACTAGACATTTGATTTAATAAACACCCATAAACTGTTGTTTTGAAGTTCTAAAGTCTTTCTTTTTGTAAAGAAAGACTACCGGTAAAACACCATAGACCCTAACTGACATGAAGCCTTCCAATTCAGCAAGCCTCACCTGAAGCACCGTCCTGAGTAACAGCAGTGTTACAGATCAACTCACAACTTCACCCCCCTGTCTCCTCACAGACCCCCATAACAAGCGCCAAGGGAGACACCTCGTCTACGCCAGCACTGTGGATTCTTCATCGCCGCTAGCTCTCCGCGTGTGTGATACACATCACAAGACTCAACTAGGAAGTTTTTGCACACCTCGACCCTGCCCAAACATTGCCCCTTACCCCTTCTCAAACGGTAAGCTCACTGCTGCCGTCTCTTCTAGATTTCCTACGACAAACGCTGGCGGATCTTATCTTTAAATACATTTTCACGCTTCATTCGCCAGAAACGATCACAGAGAAAACAACACGCTTCTAAAAGAACTAACCACCCCCCACCCTCCAGGTGTCAGTTTCGTGAAGCTGCTCATTCCGCTTTGTAGTCGCTTCCAGCCCTAAGTCTTCTGAAGTACCTGACACTCTCTCAAACATCTAGCTTTTGAGGCGGTGTGTATGGATCAAGGGAACTCTTTACAAAGGCACCGAAGGAAAAGAGAGACAACAAACATGACAGAGATGGAGAAAACAACCCAGAGACCCAAAAAGCAATCTCCTGAGCTCAGCAAAGAACACTTTATGCACCCAAAGCCCTGGTTTGTTCAAATCTTCATATTAATTCTAAGATGGGGTGGCGATATCCGCTACTTCAGCAGAAGCCACCTGAGGGCTCTCTCGCCCGGAGACTGCTCTTTTACTGTGTCCCTGTGCTTGTTGAGGTCCCTGGAATGGGGACTACCTGTCACATCATGAGGTCTGGATACACCTGTGCTGAAGGGAAACGAACCTCCTCTTAGCGGAGGGCATTTATCGACTTGGAGATACTTGACAGACATCCCTATTGCTGCGACCTGCAGTCGAAAACTGAAAATCGTAACTTAGGTTCTACAACTCTTTCCACTGAGGCCAACTTTTCTAATTTGTGTAAGAAAGCCTCTTGGCATTTGTTTTAGGTTAAGTTTCGCTTAATCTAAAGAGAAAATTTCACTGTTAGAAACTTGGCTAATACAAAAGAATTTTTGACTTCGTTAAAGTCTTTCTGTATTGGGGGGGAAAAAAGTTTCTTTTTGTCTTGTTTGGCGCTGGGGAGGGAGATGCTGCAGCACGTTCTTTTGGAATACCCAGCACAGGTGGCAATTACTGAGAGGTGGTTGTAACAAATACAACTAAGACTGGCGAGAAATGTCAACTGAATCAAGCTGACACAAGAATTTAGACTTAGAAACAGGGCCGAATCCTGAGACACGTTCTCCTCCATGGCACCCACAGTTGTTAAGAAACAATCTCCAATGGATTGCAGTGTGTGTATCTTTTTAAAAAACATTCAAACCTTGTAGGCTGTACTGTTATGTATCATTTTCTTCCTCCCCTAAATCAGCTAGAGAGAGAGAGATGGGAAAAGTTTCCTTCACCAACGAGCTGGGGTTTTTTCTATTCCAAAGAAGAAGGGGAAAAAAAAAAAAAAAAAAACAGACGAGACAAGCAGCCCTGACAGGAGAAAGCGGATCTAAGTTTAAAAATAAACAAAATATTTCTCACAGACTCGGCTACCTAAATAGCTAAATTGGTCTCTACTATAGGGTAAGACAAAACAAAGAAAAAAGTGAACAGTTATGCAAAGCTACATACACAGCAACAAAACTTTCAAGCTTCGACAGAAGACAAAGAGCAGAAAACAAAGCCCAAGACTGCCTACGAAATGAGGGGAGTAACACTCTATCCTGTAATGTAGGAAAGGATGCCCTGAAGAGCCCTAAGAATAAAATAGACAAGTTTAGTAAATGGAATGAGACAATGACAAAAAATTCTACAAATCGTTTAAGAAGCTATATGTGAAACTGCACACACGCCAGAAAAACCAGGCACAGTGGGTGCAGAATTAGGTCTCGCTCTAGCCCCGGTTTGCCCAGGTTTGCTCAGGTTTGCATGGGGAAACACGAAATTAAGATAGCGGTCAAAGCGACATAAGACAAAAAGCATTCTGATAAACTAGAATCATTAAGTGCGAAAAAAAAAAAAAAAGCAAACAGAAAATACCTAGGAATATCCTTATCAAGAAAGAGCCTGCAAAAACATAAAAAAAAAGCTTTAGTTAGTGCAGCAAAAGGAAAAGAAGGAAAGAGAGAGAAGCAGAAGAAAAAAATATATAAAAGAGGCAAATCTACTGTTAGGCAAAGTGAATTCAAGTGGACAATTAACAAGAGAAATCGATGCGACACAATTTGGTAGAGGGCTTACAAGGACAGGGGGCCCCCTCCCGAGACAGTCAATTAAGGAAAATGCTGAGCACAGATGGAGTGCGGAGACCGCCTCTATTACCATCCCTTTTGGAGGGGACCGAGTATCAGAAATGGTAGGACGCTGCTGTGGAGTTAAGGGGACAAGTGAATCAGGTAACAAACATAGGACAGGGAAGGCAAGGAGTAATGGGGGCCCTTGGGAATCACGCCCCATACCAACGTATGGAATATACACACACGTAACACACCTAAACTTGGAGCTGTAAGTTCAACTGTCAACATTAAACCCCAGGCAAATAGATTCAAAGCTCTCTAAACACCATTTAGCAACTTACCACATTACGTTCTTCATATCCCTAAAATATAAAGACTGATGTCCGTTCTCACTGAACATTCTACACTAGAGAGGTAGCTCATAGGCCCAGACTATCTGCTCCAAAGAGGGGAGCTGCGGGCTCAGCAAGTGTCAGTCGTACTTGGTCCCAAACCCGTTGATGCAGTCGTATCTGTTAGAATTAGCTAACTGAATTCAATTTAGGCAAATCGATGAGACGTGAGGGCAAAAAAGAATTTCTGTTTAGTTTGAAGCAAAAGTTAAGTGTGAAAACTCAGTTCAACATTTTTAAAAGATTTGATAATGGTGAATTGTTGAAAAAACAGCTGTTTAGTTTGAGTGAGACTGATGTAAAAGAAAGGGAGAAATGATAAAATTTAATGATAAATGATAAAAAGCTTAAAAGATTTTGCACTTAGATTTTCTTTATAGGTCTACTTCTTGTGCCACCAAATTTAAAACAAAAATGTTTAAAGTGCGTGTCTTATTCTTTATTTTAGTCAATTTTTTAAAATTAATTCTGTCTACTGTGAAAGATAAGCTGCTTCTCACAAAGCTAAGTTCACCTACCAAAGCATCTGAACTGCAGCTGGGCATGAATCAAGGGACTTTTGAAGGTTACCAGCGGTCCCCAACTTTTTGGCACTAGGGACGCATGCTCCTATGAGAATCTAATGCATGATGGGTCTGAGGCGGAGCTGAGGCGGAGATGCTGGCGCTGGGGAGCAGCTGCAAATACAGATGAAGCTTCGCTCCCCTGCCCCGCCGCTCACCTCCTGCTGTGCAGCCGGGTTCCTAAGTGGCCGCAGACCATACTGGTTGGTCTACAGCCCAGGGGTTAGGGACCCCTCGGTTATGCTAACATAGGCAGGTTTAGCACAACCAGCATTTCAAGCAAACACCATCTTTCCCTGTGTATTTTGCTAAGTACCCTAGAGACATTTAAGATAATATTTCTCAAAGTTGCAAAGAAAATGTGATGGATGCCAGCTGAACATTCACTATAAATGTCCAGCAAAAGAGAAAACACTACGGGGGCGTTGGTAACTGCTGACTTTAGAGAAACGGGATTGCTCAAGATTTTGCCCAGGAAAGGGCCGGGGAGGGTCAAAGCAGCCATCTCCATCTCTGCGCCCCCCTCGCCAGGCATACACACCCTCTTGTACTCCTTCGCCCTCCACAGCCCCTGCCAGCTCCTCTTTCAGGCAAAAAGCAGCCATCTCTTTTTTCTCTTTCCTTGCAAAACTATAACGCAAAAAACTATAACAGAAAAAATTAATCCTGGCCCAGACTTTCATCTGTCTCTGCCTAGTGTCTTATTTTTGCTCTCCCTCTTCCCAACGCAGATGTGAGCAAGTGTCTCAGGAGCAGAGAGAAGCACAGAGAAGTCCTGCACTGCGAAGGCCGTGTTCTAAGCCCACGTCAGAACACGCACGCTTCCCGGCCCAGACTAAGTGAAGAAACGGAATCTCTGTGGCATCTCTGTGCACGACGGTGTAACACCTTCCTGGGGAGGGAACGGGGCCCCGATGTATGTCCAGTCTGACAAGGGAAGTAGAATGGTTGTGTACTTCTGCGTTGTCTGTCATCACTTGATTATAAAATGGAATTTTAAAGGGAATAATTTAAAATTAAAAATAAAATGTAATTCGTTAATTATGGCAGCCAATCTTGGTCAGAGGAGGTTATATTAGCTTGTCGCTTTTACGCATAAATGAAAATGAAAAGCAAATACTGAGACTCCTCGGGCAGCAGCAAAGACCAAGCACGAGAGGGTTCACCATACCTGGGAGGTCGTTTCTAGGACACTTAGGACGGAGAGACTTTCTCCACAGCGACCACTTCACAGGAAAACATTTAGCCTTAGCAGCAATTAATTTGTGCTTTTAAAGCCTTGGATAGCGTGAGTTTTCTTTTTCTGCCTTTTTCTCTTTCATTGTGTTACATCTACCCAAACTCCAAATGGGAGAGAACATTCCCACCCTGTGAGGGTAACTGATCACATATACATAGCTCTCATGACTTATTTTCTTATTTTTGGAGAGAAGGGCAGGCAGGGGAGGAAGCAGGGATTTCTGAGTTGAGGAGGGAACTAGTTTCTTCACCTGAATGGCAATCACTACCGAATAAGGCATCTAAGGTGTACTAATCCGCCCACAGGCTGACAGCGCGCTCCTCAGGGTGCCCCACCTGCTGGAGTTGTGGGAGGACTTCAGGTACTTGGCAGAGATGATATTTAGGGAGAGGATGGCATCAACTGCAGCTTCATCCACCTCAGCTTTATTCCTAATCCGGCCTAGAAAAAATGAAGAAACTGAAACATGGGCATACTTAAAAACAAAACAAATTCATTCAGCCAAAACGAGCCTTTTAAACCTTTGTGTAACGTCGGGTGCCGTGAGGGCCACTTGGTTGACTCTACAATGGTCTTTCATTCTTGTCCACATCCTGTCTCCACTTTCCTTCCCACACCGAATCAATTGTGCAACCTTATGATTCTTTGTTCAAAGAGTTTCTTACATCATTTCCATCGGACCTCCAACGTCACCACCCGGCCCGCAAAGGCCGCCCCTCACATCTGGAACGCTGCGGTAGCATTGACCGGTCTCGGGCTGTTCACTTTCCCCGCTTCCCAATCCATCCTTCATTCCTCTTACACAAATTTCTTAAGCTGCTGCTTTCACGATACCACAAATTAACATTAGGGGATGTAGCATTGCACAGAGGTTACGAGCATCATCTCTGGAGCTGGACAGCTGGGTTCAAATTTCAGCTCCAACACTCACCAGCTGTGGGGCCTGGACACACTGCGCAACCTCTCTGAGCCTCAGTTTCCTCATCTGTCAAGTGGGGATTACGATGCTTCCCTTATATGATTGTTATGAGGATTAAATAAATTTTTTTAGAGCTTTGAGAAAAGAGCCTGTCACATAGTAAGTACTGTGTGTTTATTAAAACAATAAGCGAATAAATCATAGGGTTTTTCAGAGAAGCCTAAGGAACTGTTGCCTCTGCACCGTACCCTACCTCTTCTAGCCAGAAAGCATCTCTTCCGTTTTATGTAATAGTGTTCCACATAAAAATTAATTTTGAGAAAGCCTGACATCACTGCCCCAGATAGGAGAGACTCTAATCTCCCTTCCAGGGTTGCTAATCCAGGCCCATGGCTGTGTGGACAGAATTCAGGATGTCCATGAGCCTGAATGGAAAAAAAAGTTACAACTTTATTTTCATGAACCCGTAACGGAAATTTGGTATTTCCTTCCATTATGAAGGGAGGGGACGAACCACCGGAGAATCAGCAGTACCTATGACTCTGCCCCCAGTGGAAATCAGATGTTTTCATGTCACACTAATGTAAAATATATTGACATTCACCACTACTTTGAAATGATAGAAATTCAACCTGCTACTTATTGAATGCATCAATAAAGAAAAGCTTAGACTACAGATTTGTTCAGTATTTTAACATTGTTTTCTATATTTAAAAATATTCTGATGCTTCCCCATTGTCAAAGAGTTCAAGGCAACAGAAGACTCAGAAGCTTGCCATGCCATTCTAAAGCTCATACTGTCAGCCGGTTTTTTCCTCTCACTATGCCTTAGTTTAATTTCTCCACTCTGGCCATGGGTTTCTAGCCATTTGCATTTTAGACATATTCCTGGCTATCTTACTCAAAATGATTCCATGAGTGGAAAACAAACAAAACCAAACCACCAAACAAAACCCCTCTCATTTCTCTGGGATCTACTCGGATCCTCTCCTCCTGGATCCTTTTTGTGGTGAACTCTCCTATCAGAGGTCTTTTTCGCTGGTCCTCATTCTGGTCCTTATTCACCACACTTTGTACGTGCTTTGTACACGCATACACTGTCTCTTCGACTGAACTGCAAGCTCACAATGAGCAGAGACTTCAGCACAGATCCCTGCCCAGGGTAATGCAGTCAGACAATAGTTGCTTGAATAATGTATCCTAATGATGGAGCCGAGAAAAAAGGAGCAGTCGCAAACTCGAGGCCTCTGTACTCCCCAGGGCCTGTGTCTCCAGCAGAGTCGTGCACACGGCCCCCCTGCCCCCAGCAGGGAGCAACGTTACCCCTGAAAAGCGTGGCCGTGTCCCCTGCCAGCGGAGCGTACTCACCTACCACCAGCTCACGGACATCCTTCCAGTGGAGCTCACTGCCCTTCTCGTGGATAATGGTCACTGTGATCCTTCGCTGGATGCCCTAGGTAACGGGGTGGGGCAGCAGTTGAGCTGGGGCAGCCTATGACTTCCTCTCGTTTGTTGTTTTCTGGACTGGCATACGCATTTCTGAGCACTCACTGAATCTACGTTTGATTTACCAAAAGGGGACCTCCGTTCCTACATTCCAGGGCCGGGTTTTCAGTCCACTGAAACCTCATCCTCTCTCCCCATTTGGAACTTTTGGCTGTGAGGGCTCCCAACCATAATGAAAGGAAAATTGTATAAAATGACATGGAAGCTGCATGAATTACGGTAACTGAATGAAGCACATTTTTTCAAAATAGCTTTTCTAAAATATATTTACATATAAAAGCAAGAATATGTATTTATATAAGCCAAGATCTGAGGAAGAAACATTAAAAACAAACACAAAAAAGTTTTTAAAAAGGAGAGGACAAAGTCCGCCCACCTCCAAATCCCCTTGAAACAGAGGAAAAGCAGAGAATCAGAGCTGCGTTTCTTATTCTAAACTCTTTTTTTGTGTTCTCTCCTACGCTCCCTTTTGCTCCCTCATTAGTACCTGGTGAAGCAAAAATGTCCCCTGGCAGGGCAAGCCCGCTGTATGGTCAACCACAGCTGGGATATACCTACAGAAACAGAAAGGCAGAAGAAAGAAGTCAGGTCGGGTGCTCACGCTAAGTACCACTTCGTCAGCAAGGTCCTCCCTGGCTGCTGTCGCCCCCAGTGGTCTTCGATTTTCTAAACTCCAATCCATGTCCTTCTCACCACTCACTCGGGCATTTAATCACACAGTCATTTGTACCCAGTGAACCTCTTCACATATCTATGGCTCATCGCAGCCCCCTGCATAACAGATATTCCATAAATAATGGACAATGGCAATGGCAAGTGTGAGGACATAAGAGATCTTTTCAGATTCTAGATCATTTTATACGAATAAGACTAGAAACTGTTCCTTAACTACCTCTCACTCATGATGAACGTTATAATCCTATTATAGATTTGTCTATGGAAAGTCAAATTCTTAAAGCGATGTCTCTACTGACCACTATATACAGGACCGACAGAGCCACGCCTCGCACGTAGTAGGAACTCAACAGATGTTTCAGGCGGATGAGCATGAGGGTGCACTCGGCACTACACATAGAGTTAGCAGGGTAACATTACCCCCTACCCTCGAGGTAATGGACACAGCCCCCCTTGCTCTGTTTCAGGAGGGGATCTCTTTTATTTGTGTTTTTCGAAAAGGATTTTAGAGACAACTATAAATAACAATCACATTCAGAGAAAGCTCATACTAAACTGATGTTGATCATTTTGATCTAAGACAGTGGTCCTCAACTGGGGGTGATTTTGTTCCCTAGGGGGCACCTGGCACTGTCTGAAGACATTTGTGGTCATCACAAGTGGAGAAGAGGTGCTACTGGCATCTAGTGGGTAGACGCCACAGTTGCTGCTAAATATCCTCCAATGCACAGGACAGGCCCTGACGACAGAGAATTATCTGGCCCCAAACAGTGCCAAGGCTGAAAACTCCTGGTCTTGGGAAATACTCTGCCCCCTAATCCCGTCCCTGAGATTATTAATACAAGTCTTGACCATACTGCATGCGATATGCTGCTGATAAACCCTCTAGGGAAGCTGTCTTCCCTCCTAACAAAGCGCCAGTCTCCAGGCCCTTGCTGTTGCTAACGAGAAGGCAAATTATTATACTAGTCAGTTCTCTGACAAACATCTAACTCAAAGAACACAAGACCACAAAAATTCAATTCAGAACTAGAATTTGACAGTGACAACGATTCATGAAGCTGAATGAGAAGAGAGACTCAAAATTACATGTGCTCATTTTGAAAAACTTTGCCTTATTTAAAAATTTAGAAAGTTGGACTTACTCTCCTGTAGGCTCCAATTCACTGATCTCAAACCAAACCAGAAGATCATACTTGCTCATGCTCTGGCCAAGGCTGGTTTTGCTCATGGTGTTTAACTTGGTGGCTGGAACTTTAAAAAGTTTTAGAAAATGTCAAAATCTGATCCTAGTCTACTCAGTAAAAGTATAAGCTTCTCTAACATCAGTCTTCAAAGACACACTTGGGAAAGGCGGACAGATTTCAACGCAGGAGACTTCGAGAAACTTCAACATCAACTACATCAGTACCTCTAAATTCGGAGAACGAGGAAAATGGAGAATATCTTCCTCTCTCTCCACAAACTACCCAATGATGAGAAAACAGGTTTTGTGCAGAGTAAGTGTGCTCACAAAACCGTGAAAAATCATCTTTAGGCTCTGGCATTTTGTGGCACACAGAGCATCATAACCATGTGGGGAAAGCAAGGTGGGCAGCATCCGCAAGACACAGCTTGAGGCGGGGAGGACAGACCCACCCTCTAAGCCAGCGGTTCCTGACCCTCCCTGCATAAGAGTCACCTAGGGATCTTAAAGATGGCAAAGCCCGGCCCACAGCCCAGGCCCACTAATCACAATCCCCAGGGGTGGGACTCGGCCATCCGGGGACTCCAGTGTGCAGACACGTTTGGATACCACTGGTCTAATCTCTAAATACAGGATTCTATAAATGATCTCTGGTTATGCATGTTCTTTTAAAATTCCATATTCTTAACTTTACTGAGATTTTAGCCAAAAATTCACTGATTTGCAAAAATTTCAGATTCTACATGGTGGGCACTTTGAAACACTACTTAGAAATTCTGAAACTTGGCAATACAAAGAGGGGTCCCCAGTCAGGACTTCGGAGCACTGGAGTGAGGGCTCAGGGACTTGGGGTCTAATTACTGCCCAACCACTCAATAGCTGTGTGACTTTAGTTGAGTCACTTAAACTCTGGGAGTCTGTCTCTTCACCTATAAAATGTAGATAATACTTAGCCTGCTAGCTCAAAAGGGGTTACGGGGATCCACCAAAACAACGTATGGAAAGGGGCGCTCTGAATCACGCGGTGGCATTATTCATGGGATCCACAAGAGCTGGTGGCGCTAGTTAAGAAGGAAACGGTTAACTGATTCTGGTGGTCGTCTAAGGGTCGTCTAAGGGTCAGAAAGCAAAACCTGACAGTAAAAACAAAACGGCAAAAACAAAAACCACCTGCTAGTAAAAATCTGTAAAATTAAAACTGCTATTGCAAAGAATTCAATAAACAAATACAGGGACCCGGAGGGCGATGTGAAAGGGGCCCCAGGAGGGGGGCGGGCGCTTCCTGAGATCTCTCCGATCTCAGGATCTCAGGATCACGACATGATCGTTGACAACGTGCCGAACTCTACATTCGGCTCGAGCAGCGAACAGAAAGGTCAGTGTTTCGCACATAGACGCCCGGCTTTAGGACAAGGCCCTGAGGATGGTTCTACGTCTAAGGCAGGGCTGATTTAGCTACTAACCATCTCGTTTAGGTTCCCTCTCGCTCTGGCAGCTGGGAACTGGCGGGAAAAGAAAAGGCGGCAAGGGGTCAGCCCCATCCTGGAAGGTGGCAACAGCGGAGGATGCAAGCACGCTGGCGTGCTCAGAAAACGCGTCCAGCACATGCACATTCACATAGCCAGACACGAGAAATCGGATCAGCTCAATCTTTCTCTCATGGTCTGAAGGCGGGATGGAGGTGACGCGTACAGAGGTGGAGAATGAGCAGAGGGTGGGGTGGGAAATGTGGCAAGTGGGCAATGAGGAAAAGGATGAAAATAAACAAAGAGAAGTCAGAACAGGATAAATGAACATGCAGAATAACTTTAATATGCAGAGCAGTGCCCAGTCACCTGACAGTTATGGGATGTTACACACAAAGCGGAGAGATTCAGGCACAGGAAGCTCATCTAAAGCTACAACGAGATGACCAGAGAACTGGCAGGAATGGAGCCCTATTGCTTCTTACATCTTATTTTAAATTGGGAGCCAAGAAATCTAGTTCCTGCTAGGTACAAGAATACGTAAGGATACAGAGAACTAGAGCGGGAATCAGAATATGATTTTGATCTGAAAAGTCGTTCAGAATAAGAGAGGTATTCAAGAGAACATCACGCGAAGAACGCAGCCTGAGCTCACCTGGCTTGGACAGTGGCATGGGCGGAGGGAAGAATCGTCGAGACGGCTGAGGTGGACTGCAAAGGAAGGGAGACAAAGTTCTTCAAGACTGAAAAGAGTCCCGCGTTGATATAAACGGCACGTTTAAATCATCTTTAGTCATAGACCGTTTGGACTTTCAACTCTGACATACTATCAGATACCAGACATACTCCCATGCAGTGAAACTGAGGCTAAGACATTTTAATGAAAGTCCCCTTCCAAGTCACAGCTAACAAACGGAGAAAATTTTTTCATTAACACTGATACTGCCATCATCTCAAAGCTCCCGTCGTTGTCCTCGACAACTTACTTGGTAAATAAAACTGTTAGTTAGTTATCCTAACCCCTCAAAAGATTTCTTCCTTTCCAGCAAGTGACAACAACAGTAACAACAAAGACAGTAACAACACAAATCTTTGCTCATTTGGCCCAAACCTGTTAAGCTCCTGTCCTTGCAGGTGAAGCGGGTGCTGCTGATAATGCCCAAAGACTTCAAACACTATAGGCTTGCTTTTGATGTATTCCACAAAGGATTCCGTGACCTCCACTGCAATCTAATAAGAAATAAAGCCAAGCTAGATTAGGGGAAGGTTTATCAGAAAAAAAGACACATTTTTGCTGCAATCAAAATGTTAGCACTTTTGAGTACCCGGTAATTGCTGGGTGTTTTAGTACGCAGGCCAGGCCTCCCACACGGAAATACAGGACAGGGGCTCCTCTCCGGTTTTCATTCTGAAGCGACGTTATGGAGCTTCAGGCATTCAAGACCCTCCATCATCTGCCCCAATTGACCTCTGGCGCCCCCTGCTGCCCTTCACACTTACTGTTTCAGCTTGATCAAACTGACCTGCTCTCTCCTCTGCCCTACAATCCAGCCTGCAGGGCCTTCCCATATCTCCATACTTCTAAGCCATTCCTAAACTTCAAGAACCAGCTCAAACAGTAACGATGATAAGAAAAACATGACTGACCCATGCTAGGTACAATGCCAAGTATGACCCACCTTTTTTCATTTGTACTATATCCTTCGGGAAGTTCCACCTCCTTTTCCATCTAACCGTCCACCCCCCAAGGATCTTTCTGTGGATGGAAATAACTTTCCCTTCTCTCTACTCCCACTGCATTTAATGAACACCTTTCTACTGTCTCTGTATCTTGTTCTACTGTTGTTTAGATGAGCTCTCTGGGGACATAACCACCTGTGACTCATCTGTGCATCCCCAGGGGTGTCAGGCACACTCCCTGTGCACAGTAGGCAATCAACGATTATCGAGTACACACATGCTCTGCATTTCTCTGGGTTCAAAGCCCATCTCTCTGCCTCTTTCTAGTTTTGTAACCTTGGTGAGTGACTTTAACTGCTGTGTGCCTCAGTTATCTCAGCTTTCACACGGGGATTATGACTGTCTACGGCATAAAGGTGAGGATTAAATGAATTAAGGCACAAAAAAGCACGTGTAACAGTGATACAAAAGAGCTCTCAATGAATGTTAGCTATTGTGATGAGAATGATGACTTCTGAATAGTTGGAGTGAACCTTCTAGAAGAGCTGGAAGGTCTGTTTTCTTACTCAACATATCAAACAGCTGTAAGAGGCATTAATGGATTAATCACAGTATCAGCTGGAAGGGAAACAGAATCTGAATCATAGGTATTTAATAGTTTCCATCTTATTTGCAACTGAACAATGTGAGTACCTCATGGTTTCAAGGACGGTAAATACATTAACTTTAACAAAACACACTAAAATGCTTGTATTTCTAAGAAGAAAACACTAAAAACAACCATGTTCAAACTGACAGAAGATTTTATGGGCAGATTAATCTGACACTATTCACGGGCCCATTGTGATTCAGAGAAGGAGGCCAGCTGCTCTGTCCCTGAGGATGAGCTCACTGCTCCAGCCACTCTCTCCATTGTCTACTCTCCCCACAGAGCTTCCCCTCCCCACCCCACCCCCAGCACAACAGCTCAGATTGTCATCCCTCCTCCACTGAGAAAGGCAAAGGCAGCCTTCCCTGGATGATGCTCTCACACCAGCCACTTCAAGGTACCACAAACCCAAAATATATTTGGCAAGAATGTCCACATCACTTACATTCTGCACGTGGTAGAAGCCCAGGGGACTTCCTCTGCCGTTGTTTTTGAGGGGTTCGGTGGAGAATGCTTCATCATGGCGATGCAAAAAGCTTAATGAAAATATAAGACACGTGAGTTTCGCATTCGATGGTTTCACCATGATCTGCTGTAACAGCTCCACTTGGATCCCACGGAAAGAAGCACCCTACCTACTTAAGCGGTGTCTAACCGAGCCAAGCGATTTACACTTCCTTGTCAAAACAGCTTCTGTATCAATAACTCAGGCAGCATTTTAGATTTTATTTCAAAAATGACTGAAAAATTAACTGACCCTCATCACTTAGCTATGTGGATGTATACGCTGTATATGCAAGGATGCCTTAGACAACGTGAAGAGTGAATTCAGTTAACTGTTTACAGTTTTCCATTGAGAATAAATAAATACTATGACATCATTTCGTGTAGAAAACATCGGGTAGATTCAAACTTCTGCAAAGTCATACTAAAGTCTATACCTGACTAGGAGTCTCTCTAAGACCAGCTATGAGAAGGTTCAATTGTTGCCTCTTGCAAAAAGTCTGTTCTGACTCACCCAAACAGTTCTGTGTCCCCACAGTACTAGGAACCGCTTTTTCTTCAAGAGCAGTGATTTCACTGTAATTAATGTATTGATGTGCCCGTCTCCCCAAAAGACAGTGGGTGTTTCCCACGGGGCTTGCAATATAGAAGACACTCCTAAAATATTTCTTCAAATCAGTGGGCTGTATTTATTTGTTCTCACAAATAGTGAGATTTTATTGTTCTCTCTCCCTCCCTATTATTAGTCTGAAAAAAAAAAAGTCCAGAATTAAAGCATTCTCAATACGAAGATTTACTGCCAGACAGACACACCCGTAAGGACGGCCCGCACCTCTGCAGGGAAAAACGGAGGGAGAAGACACTGAACGGGGGGCAGAGACCCGGATCACGAACTCTTCGCCTTCCAAAAGACTGACTACTGTCCTGTGTCCTATGGTCAGGCATTCCAAATCACTGAGGTCACCTACTGCTGGCTCTGCAGCATTCCATACTATGTGTACCTTTTCCTATTTTCTTCTCGTTCTTCTCCAGACTATACTTTGTACCCACCAGAGGCCCCCGGGGCACCAGTTCATCTCTGATCTACATTCCTCCATGCTCTGCTTGGAGCGGGTGCCCAAACCCTGGAGTTCCGCACTGGTGACACATGAGAGCAGTCACACTGCTCTACAGAGGGAGACGGTCCATAACGGAACCGTCGAGCAGGATGTGCGGCCAGTCCTCCCCACAATGAACTCCGTGGCATTCCACTGTAGATTTCCGGTTCTTACTCCCATCTTGAGTGAAGAAAGTATTTTATTTAGTCATTTCTCTCTCAAGAGTGTGAGTCTCTCGCAAGTGTCAAGCACTCTGCGGAGCACGAAGGACGCCACCTGGGTGAGGGGCTGGGGCGGCAGAGGCACGGGGCGGCTTACTTGAACTGACAGAAGATGTCCGCATACTCTGGGAGGATTCCGCTGGCCTGCAACACCGTGACACGGAACGTGAAGGCACTGCCCAGTTTCAGGTGGTGGCCGATCTCTTCGGAAAAGCCTTCCATTACCATCTTCCCGTCCAGCAGGGTGCCGGACTTCAAATCTAGAGGGAGTCAAATGAACGCACATGATTCGAACAGTGCACTGACCACCCTTCAAAGAGAGCAGGGCGTTCTCTCCATTCCTGGTGGATGAAAGTGACTATCTCCTCTGACCTCTGAAAATGTCCCCAGTCACAGTAAACTCCGTCTACGCACCCAAGTCATTCATCCGGTTGATTTCTTCTGGCGGAGTGATGACCTCCGTACTCTGACCCTGTCCTTCCACAATCCTCAGCTCTTCCAAGGACAGACCAGAACGAGTCATCGCAACTGAAGAAAAGTCGCTCTGCAAACAAGGCAGGGGGAGGTGGATGACAAAGGGGAATAACAGTGTCGTGTCCCCCAGACTCCTTCTTTTGTTTACTTGCCTAACAAATAACAATTACTGGAAAAGTTTGTGGATTAAGAGCAGCCTGAGAAAAGGCAATATGATGAAACATAAATGCTGGGCCTTTCCCTCTGCTGTTGTAACTGTCGGACGTGTCCCACATTCTACTAAGCACGCTGTGGTGGCCTCCGCTTTGTCGTTCTAGGTGAAGAGCTGGTCTCCAGTGCTGGACACCCTACTCAAACCCTGTCTACTTCTGTCTCTTGCTAGAAGGCTTTCCTCTTCCTGGAAGGTTTCTCACCTGATTAAAGTACTCGTTATCAAAAGATATTTTAGCTGTTCCTGACTGGCGGATTCCAGAGCCATAATCAGGAGCTTCTTCATCCGCTAAATGGAAAGAACAAACAAGTAAATAAGCAAGGATCGAACACGACTACACACAGGGCAGGGAGGGAATGACTCCCACTGGATTATAAAATAAACAGCACAGTAGTGGAGCCTTCGGGTTCCCAGAACTTTACCACAAGAGGCGACACTGAAGGACAAGCCCTTGTGCATTAAGAAAGAATGAGACCCAAGCAGTAAAGTCATGTGGGCCGCTTCCCACTCTACTCAGATAAACTTACCTCCTCAGCTCGCGTGAGACCAGTCAGTAAAGAAGCAGTTATGTTCTTGATATTTTTCAAATGTCATATCTGAAAATACTGATCCCTTCACTTGGTGAGATTATATTTAATAATACTCAATACATATTTGAAAATATTAGACTGTACTTGTGGAGATTCCCATAAACTTGACATTGGTGACTATGTCACAGACATCCATGAAGAAAAGCTGAAAGGTTACTGAACACAGCACAGTGTTCGGAAATTAAAACAGAAAAATTTAGGAATGGCCATTCTTTCCTCAGAATGTAGGCTGGATCACGGAGGAGCGTCAGCCTCTCGATCCATGCATCCCCAAATAGCAGCTGAAGGACAGACTGTCTAGAACAAGTGCGCTGAGAGAAAATTAGGCAAGAAAAAGTCCTGAAAATCCTTTGTTACTTCTGAGGCAGTTAAGATATATTATTTAAAATGCAAATGACTTTTATAAAGTTATCCAAGGTTTATTCTTTGGAATTCCTTTTACTCCATTATTCTAAAACAGCGGTAGCCCAGACTAAATAGAACCTACTTCTGATATTTGGGAACAATTGTTAGCAAGGAAACAACAAAGGCCTTCTCCGAGACAGACAAGGCGCCGCCTTCTATGCTGTTACTTGCTGCGTGGCCCACACGGAACCGGCCTGCCCTGTCTCCAGGCGGAGAATCCACAGCTCTCATTTGAGAAGGGGGTCACCTACCTGCAATGGCCTGCACAGCCACACGCAGAAAGCCCCGCACTTCGCCCTTCTCGCTGACGATGGCCACCCTGTGGATCAGGGGCACGGGGTACAGCAGATTGCTCAGGTAAACGAATGCCCTAGAGACGAAACCCGGGACACAGACACGTGAGCACCGCACCGACAGACAGGTGGCTGTCAGAACATCTTCACGAGACCATGAGCTGGCTTCTAGGCTCTGTCTTAAGGTCACCTCTCTGTTCTGTACTCTCAGACTACCTCCAGTTGTGTTTTATGCACAGATAAAATAGAAACGAATGCAAATGTTTGGGAACGCGGCTGACAGAGACCAGCTTACACCAAATTATTCCCTGTAACAATTACTACTGTGGGTAGAGAGTGATAACTGAAGGCAGACTTTCGAGATATGGCTCTATGAATACAGCTAAGGGTGGGGAGAAGGGAGCCCAGCAAAGAGCTTAACCTTTTAACGTAAGGGATTATAAAGAGGTTTGGTTTTTGTCCCCAACAGATAAAACAGAAATCAGGAGACAGAAAAGGCAGAGGAATGTGACTGAAATACAGTTAATAATTATAAAATAGATTTCAAGTCACAGCTTTATAGGTCTTTACTTTTACTCTACGAAATGACTATTATCTTTAGGCGGAGTGACTCACAAATATGGGCAGAGGGGCTACATAGCTAGAAGTTTCGGACTAGTGAGCTTATAGGTGACTCCAGATGGGCATCGAAAAATGCCAAGGAGAAGAAGACAGCCAACCCCTAACGGGCTGCTTTTGCTCCTAGGGTCCAAAACCTAATTCAGACACGTCCATGTAAAAGGTAAATTACAGACCTAATATTCTCTATTCCAAATGAACTTGCAAAGTCCTATCATGTTTGCACTTTTTTTCTTTCGTTATTTTGTAGCTGGTGATCACCAAGCTTAACAAAGTTCATTGCCATTATCGTTCTCGTTAGAGGATGGGAGGGAAACAGGCTCTGGCCCCTGCTGTTACTCCTGCCTTCCCACCTGGTACGTGCTGATCTCCCAACACAAGACAACACAGAGTAAACATTTGCATCAAGAAATCAAACAGAACTAAACACGACACATAGGCCTGTCTGCTTCTTTGCCTGCTCTGAAGTCAATTTTAAAACAAAGGGAAAAGGAAGATGAGTAGATTCTTGGGATTTCAAATCAAAGTAATGAAAACAATTCTGAAAACAGACAAAATACACCACAGAAAAACAAATGTTAAAACTTTAAGAGCATAAATGAAATATGAATGAAAAATATAACAAAAATAACTGCAAGTGAACATTAAATAAGGTCAGATGAGATCTACTTCCCTTTCAGTCTGCTCCAAAGGCGGGGGAGGGCAATGCTAAGAACAGAGGGTTAAAGCTTTGGCGTACAAAAATTAAAAAATGAAGTCTTCTACAAAAATTACAAACAAGACTCTCGAACATCAACCACTGTGACAGAGTTTAAAGACTAAGAATTTGGCATAAAGTATCCAATGGATAATGTCGCTCCCAAAGTCAGCACACATGCGAGACCACCCTTACGTCTGAATGGCATTCCAGCCACCCCTGCCCGCCTCAGTGCCTCCACCATTAAAGCACCATCGCACATGCTTGTCCCCTGCCTGGAGTCTTCTCTGAGCTCTACCGCCCGCCCGGAGCCTCTGCCTGCACGTCTGCAAGCCTTACTCCAAACACTGCTCTCTTCATGACAGGTCCCCAACATCACACGATCTCGGGAACACACGCGATGCCATCGCGGCTGTGATTTACATATACTTATGTGATTATTTGTCTGTCTCGCCCACCAGACTGTCAACCCACGAGGGCAGGAACCACGTATGGTCTAGCTGGCCACTGGTGAGCAATTAAACGGGAAAATGATTTGTCCTCTATCTTCAAATACACTTAATTTTCCAGAAAAATGGGTTACACCAGAGATGGAGAAGCAAAGCCATCCAACTTTATACTAGGTGATTTTTCAAAGCCGTACTCATGATGGATATTAACTGTATGGAACATGTTTAGATTCTTAACTATACTTAACTTGTGTAGTTACCTTTTAAACTTAAAAATAGTTATTGAAAAATAGGAACTCCTGTTTTTAATCTTAAAAAAGCTTACCACTCGAAGGCAAAGCATCTTATGTTCACAGACACACACACACACACACACACACACACACACACACACACACTACAATAAAGTACTGTTTGAGCGAGCACACATTAGAGACAAGAATCTCTATTCTGCCCATGGCAATGACTAATCCGAATGTGAAAAAACATAAGTATTCTTATCGATTTTCCTTTTTAGAAAAGAGACTTCTATAATTCTATGGCAGTGGCAGAGGCATCGATGCTGTATAAAAAAATCTCCGCTGAAGTTTTTTAACTGGAATTGTAACAATTACACTGCATTCTTGAGAGTCCTTATACCTTGACCTAGCAGACTGAAGGAGAACAGAGATGAAAGAGAAGATGTGAGGGATACATTAGCAGAAAGTTCTGTGAAGTTACATCAAAATGGGAAACAAATTTTGTCAACATAAAGGTAAGAGAAATCAGCACAATTAGGGTTCTAGTTACAGAACGAATATCAGTTCAGGTACTTAAGGTCACGGAATTACCATCTTTTGCCCTTTTTGACCCAGAAGAGTAGCTTAAATATTTTACATTTCATCCCAAATTATGATGGTTTATAACACCCCAGCATGCCATAAGAGAACAGCTAAAGGGACAAGCTCTTTTTTCACATAAAAATTCACTGGCGGCAGCTAAGGAACAAAACTTGCGAGCAGAATTTCACAAGATACTGAACATTTTTACAAGTGAATTGTATTTGCAACTGGACGCCCACCGAGGAAACCCAATTCTGTGAGTCACGAGAACAGGAAAGAAGCTACTCCTCTCGCATGTACAAGGACGGCCACTTAACTAGGTGACGTTAATTCTGTCTCTAGATGAGAAATGTAGTCAAGAGTGAAAATAAAGAGCTATCCTTTGCTGATTGCCATGATTTCACCTCCTCCTCTAACATCGTACTTGAAATGGCAAAGTTAGTTTTAGAACCTGGGAACCCAAACGAATGCAAAGCCAAAGCTCCAGAAACATTTTAGTTGAAAATCCAAGTAGAGTTTGATGGCTTTACATCTACACTTAAATCTGTTATGATTAAAATGAATAAAAGAAGGAAGAAAATAATGTTTGTCTTAAGCCAGTAAGTTTCCACATTAAGTGGGATTCTGACCCAAAATACGAATGCTTCTGTGTAGAACTCTTAACCGGGATATGCATTCTGCCAGTGTGGACGACAGAATGTGAAACAAAAGATCTCTAAGGCTCTTTTCCCCCCACCTAACGCTTCGTTTTAGGTTCTTCATTTGAGAACCTAACAGGCAGCAGTTTAAGTCGCCAGTCCTAAGCTAGGACACAGGCTCCTCCTGGTACTTAAATCAATGTTCTTCCCACGGTGCCACATAAGGAGACGCTACCTATGCCTCACTGTGCGAGGGTGCAGAGCTTAAGTGAACAGTGTTAGAAGCTGTGCGACCGGCACCAGGACCAAGCAGTTTACGGGCAGAAACTTGGTTCTAACTTCTGACTCTCTCAGAACAGAATGGAAATGTGCTGAAGGACACATACGGCCATAAAACAGAGTAAGCATCACGGTCCCATTATCGGTACACAGAAATACCGACCTCAATTGTAATGTGAATCAGCTTCTCTGAAATTTTCGGCATCTATTCCCGGCAATACCCCAGGAAACAATATTAATGGACATATAACTAACTCCTTTATGATTATCCATGGAAAAACTGAATAAATGTCTCTTCGCCACTGTAGAACCCAGAGACTGTCTAATATTATAACCCAGAGTCGTAACTGAGGCTTTCATTTCTATCATAAAGCTTTAATTTTCCCCCTTTCCGTAACCGTGATCACCTTCTCCGTTACTTAGCTGTCACAGGTAACCGACACCACACTATGAGCTAAGTTTTGGAACCTTATGTTTCCACTGGGGAAGAAGACTCGCTGCACTTTAATTTTTAGACAACTGGTGCTTATCCATTTAGCACTAATTCCCTTATTTTCAAAGGGTTCAACAATATGTGATTCTAATGAACTATTAAAGTTAAATTTGATACCTTAAAATTTGGAGATACTTTTGGTTACTCCAGTGAGTACTGCACTGGTGAATTTGTCATTATAATTACTGCAGCGTGAAGACTGGACATGGACAAAGATGCCAGTATTAAGGACGTGTGCATGAGAGGCCTGTGTCACTGACAGACGGGGCCAGAGACAAGTCCTCGGTTTGGTGAGCTAAACACAAAGCAGTTCCAAGTCATATTGAACAAATACCCATTATTGACGCTGTCAAAAATATTTTTATGAGACTCATCATTGTAAAGCCTATAGGTAAAATTTTAGCAGAAGCTAAAGATCTACAGAGAGGCTCAGTGAACGTGGCCAAAGAAAGGCATCCATTTGGGACAAAAAGGAAACTTTGAGTTCCTGATTCTTTTTTTGGATTCACAGACTAAAGAATAAAGAATAATACTTCTTTAGCAAAGAATAAAGCTAACACTTCTCCTGATTCCACTTTGTCTCCCTGATTCCTGCCGGTGTCACGAAGCCCTTAGCCTAACCTGGCTTGCTCACTTTCTCGGGTTTAACCCCTAAGCTCCGCACCCACATTCTTACGAAAAGGAAATGTTACATCCCAGTAACAATCTCCCACTCTGCGACCTTTGATTTTTGGCTTTAATCACTTTCTCTTCTGGGGTTCCCTCTTTCAGAAGAGTATTATATTACTGGGCAATTTAAGACAAAGGGTCCTCCGTGTAGAGTCATCACACTCTGCCGCACGCTGGGCCAAGCAGGCGCAGTGCCTCACAAACACTGCCCGGGGGCGCTCTCTCCAGCCAGAACAGCATGCCAGGGGTTGAACTGGCGAGAGCGTAATCCTCCGAAATTGCACAAGGAGCCTCTTTAGAGCAAGAGCTGGTCCCTTTTTGCCTTTCTCACAATAACCTCACCAACCTTCCCACTAAAATGAACCATGGGGATCGGTCGTAAAACGGGTCATGCCCGTCACTGAAGAGATCTGATCCCTCCTCCATCCCCGCGTCAGAGCCGGTGTCATCCACGAATGCCTCATCATCAAAATCCTCCATCTCATCTTGCTGCTCGTCAGCCAGCTCAGTGATGTCGGAATCGGCCGTGGAAAAAGTGGGGGAGGGTGTGCGGTCGGCAAGGCGCTCATTCACACAGCCATGGAAAATGGGGGAGCTAGACACCAGGTGAGACGCCGAGTGACACAGCCGAGGAGAGAGGAACAGTTGGTTAAACAGGAAGCTACAGGTGCCAACAGCATAGAACCCACTGAGGAATCGACACAATCAAAGCAAGTGGAAAAGCAAAAGGATAAAATGAGCATAAATCTTCCGGTTCAGGTGAGAGGGATCAAGGACTGATTCTTCAGACTAAGAAAAGCAAAGGAATGACATGAGTAGACCATCCCATGTAAATGATGTCTGTAAAATGTTTATATTCTCCAGTTTGCACAGAGGATCAGCAGCCGGGCCTCAAAGGAGCCACTCAAAATTAGGTGAAATTACGAGGTTTAAATTTTTATTCCAACTCCCATGTCACCTGGGAGCAGAAAACAAAATGGAGGAAATGGTCTACGGCAAAGCAAGTATGTGCCTTGCGTGGATAAAACGTGTTTGGTCGTTCATCTCTTTAAAGACATTCCACTATCAGAGTGGCCTGGAAAAGACTTCGTCATCTACGAAACACGATGACGTCAGCTCCTACTTTTTACCCAGTTCTTTTAAAACTGTCGGAAAGTTTTTGCAATTGAAAAACAATTCGAATTCTGAAATCATTCAGCTCAAAACTTACATTTCTCTGCTTTTTAAATTCTAAACCTCTAAGAACTTAACTCAACATGGACCCATACGAGCACCGTTTGTTTTCATTAAATGTTGAAAGTAACGTATACAAAAAGAGAGGTTCAAGGGGACTACACCAAGGCGTGCAATTAATTCCCCCTCGGCAAAGACTAAAGTGAGATAAACTGCTTTAAAAAAAAGTGAGGACATTTCGGATCCTAGAGAGGGTGCAGTCTGTAAGTCTTAAGTCATACAAAAACCTATGCGGGATACGGACATAGGTTTTCTTTTCCTTTTACATCTATCTTGTTCAACTGTAAGACATTTTGTGAATGAGTTGAGAGGCAGGGAAGACTGTCAATTACCTTGATAATATGAGACTTAACACAAATACGCGTGTTGTATAAAACAGAAGGGAAATGTACCAAATGACGGAGTGACTGTGGATGAGTGGGCGAGATTATAAACGGGGCTTTTTTATACTCTTTTTCTTATACCTTTCTGTAAAAATCTGCTAAGGTTTTAAACAATTAGAATCATTCCTTATTAAAAAGAAGACATCGATAAAATCATCGCATACCTTCCTACGAGTTTGAACCAATGGAACCGATCGTAAAATGGATCGCTGCCGGTCATAGCAGCTTCACTCTCCTCCGGGGCACCCGAGGCCATCTCGCCCGCCCTGTCGTACATCTCTCGCATCAAATCCAGCCTCTGCCTATACAGTAAACAAAGAGTGTCCTGGGTTAACATCACTGGTTTACATGAAAACGTCATTTTGGAAGTATCTTCCGTTTGAGATTTAAAAAAAAAACAAAAAAACAAAAACACTGCTTCCATGAAATGATATTAAAAAGAATGAAGGCCAAAAGTACAGAAACCGACAGTACCCAAAGTGTCCGAGTCCAGAGATCAGCCACCAAGACAAGAATGGCCCCTAACCTCTACTGAGCCATAGAAGTGTAGGTCAATGTTGCATGACATCTCAGATACACTTAAACAGAGAAAATAACTCATCGTGCTAAATGCAAAAGTAAGCTACATTATAACTTTCCTGTTTATCACTGGTCATATTGAGATCCAGGACAGAAGAGATGAATAATTACCAAAAGATAAACAGATATCATGAAACCGGCATATTTAAAATGGGAGAGGGGTCTGTGGAAGGTAAATTTAAATTGTTTCTACAAATGACAGTGGTGTTTGCGGAGTGGGATTCATTCGCTTAGAAGAAAACAGACAGATCACAGTATCGCTGGCCAGCGACAGCATTCAGGAGCACAGAATAGGAAGTAACGGTGACAGCACAGAGAGGAGAGTTTGGGGGATGCACCTGAGCAATTAATTATTTCCTTAATAAAACAACCGGATTTATGAATAACGCTTTCATACTTGAGTTTCTCCAAAGACCAATAATGAGTTGCTCCATTCTTCAGATCCTGGACTTCGACCGCCACCACCGTGCGAGGGAAAGGCCTGTCGTCATGAGTTTTTTCCATCTCAGTGGGAAGTAATTCAGGAGGTAAAGGCGAGTACAACGTGTCAGTCAGGAGAACAAACTGAAACTGCACCTAAATGGGAAGAATAAACCATCGACAAAGGGCCTTTTTGTTTGCAGTGAGTAAGCTTCAGAGGTGAGGCCATATAATCGCGCTCAACGGAAAGGACGTCAAACATATCGTACACGCTCAACAAACAGCTTGTGATTAACTGGGAAAAATGGCCACTTGTGCTCTAATCATAAAGAATAATCCTAATTACAAATTAAGCTATTTAAACATTTTGTTTTTCTAGCCTGGCACAGTATTATTACCCAAACTAAAATTACAATAAATATATTTTGATTGAATGAAGCCTTTTGTAGAACTTATACGAAAGACCCAAGAATGCATCTCTATCTAGTTTCTCACTAATGATGGGGGGAGGGGAGAGGAATATGTCATAGTTTTCGATTTTAAATTCGGAGAATTACAACTACTACCTTGCAAGTGTTTACTATATTCTAAGTGCTTTACATGCACGATGTCATTCATTCCTAGCTGTAAGAAAAAAGAGACAGTCCCTGCTTTCATTTAGTCTACTTGAAGAGAGAAGTAACTGATAAATAGTTACAAAATGAGACGGGTGGTCAACTTTACGAATAAAGAAGACATCTTATCCTCATTTTACAGAACTAAAATATAGCCCTAGGAGAAGATAATGAATTTCCCCAGCTCGGGAGTCTGCTCTCACCTACTACACAACATTGCCCCCTCCCCTGGAATCCCAGAAGCCGGGAGACTGTGAAACAGTGGGACATACAGAATATCCACTTTTTCATCCCTGGCAAAATCCCTGGAGGCAGGCACTGCTGTCTGTCAGCCCATTTTGCAGATGAGGGGATGGAGGCTCAGGGCTACCAGTGTCAACACGACTAGGAGAGCTGGGGCTGGAACCTGGCTGGCTGGTTCAAACCATGTGCTTGTCCACTACATGGAACTGCCCCTCAGACCCCAGAAGAGGAGAGGGCACAGAGGACTTAAGGTACAAACGATGGTAAAAAAACTAAAAGAAAACTGAGATTTTCAGAAACCCAAAAGAAGCCTATTTCTACTAATAGGTTTCTCTAGCTCTTGTCAGAAATACGATCTCCTTATTTATAAAATAAGCTAGAAAACATGTAATTTTAAGAATTTCATTTAATAAATGTATAATTAGCACTTACTATGTTCCAGGTACGTATATTAAAGGCATACATAAACCTGTTTCACAGCAAAGCCCAGGTGGCCCCACCCAAGGTGAAGGTTAATCTGGGAAGAGCATCATGAACCCCAACGGGCTCAGCTCTGCCCCCAGGAGCCCATGGTCCCACGCCCTCCGTACCTTCTTCTTCAACTCCACGCTGATGGCGTTGGCCTCCTTCAGGTACACGGCGTTGCCCCAGAGTAAGTCCCTCAACGAAGTGAACTGGTGAGACTTCCACTTCCGGAAGGCCCACTGGGCCAGCTCGAACTCGTGCTGTGTCCAAGGAACTGAAAGAGCAGGCGAAGTGCATTTCATGGCGACCGCCCGACTGCGCAGAATCGACGACCCTCCCCTACCTCGCCCCTTTTCTCAAGTTAAGGTGTGTTCTGGTTTTTCTCCATTCAGCTGCTTTTGTTTTTGTATTGATGGCAAAGCTCACTAAGTTCTATTGATATTATGAAAGCAGTATACACATTTCAGAAAACTTTTAAAAATTCTGTTTAAAACAGTACATTGAAAAAAAAAACAGATTTCTCTTCCTTTTTTCAAAGATACATCTAATGTGTAGCTTATAATAGAGAAAAACCCATGTGGTACAATTCCAATATGTCTTTTTATTTTTAATACAGGGCAAAAAAGGTCTGATTTCACCTAGATATTTAAAAATAAAGAATGTAGTACATACATTAAGAATTCACTCGAAGTGATTTGGAGCCTTGAAATTACTGAGAGGTTGGATGGAGAAGTGAAATGTGGTAAACGTTTATACTGTACATAAGCCAGTAATTAATCATCAAAGCCTTAATTCAGCTAAAACCTTCTGGAAAAATATATTCCAAAGCCCTCACTGGAAAATCTCTGACATGAACAGTAAACCAGCAAACAGAACATCTTAAAGAGTAAGCTGTTTGCAATATATATGAATTTTATATACACGGTAATATTGGACAGTATCAGGAAATTGTCCACAAGATTTATATGTGCTCCGAAATCTTGTGTTCTGAGGAACACGGTCCCACTCCCACCTCCGAGAATACAGCCTGGATTCTCGGCACTGAGCAACTTTTAAAAATCATGTATAAATTAGCACCGTAAATTGTCAATAAATGGTAGGGTCAACTATGGTCAAATCCAGCTCTGATCACAGGACTGGATCAGGACTCATCTGACAACACAGATCCAAAAGACATATCAGGAAAGTTTCAGTGTTTAGATTTCACCTTCTTCCTCCTCCTCTTCCTCTTCGGTTGTTTCTGCAGCAAGGGACCGAGTCTCCACCTGCTTCTGCAAGGCCTGCAACTTACTCTCATAGTCCTGAAGGGAAAGAAAGGAGACAACATGTAGGAGGGAGAGGAGGTAAGCAGGAAGGAAAGGAAAAGAAATATTAGGGAGACCGGAGAAAGCGAAAGACGACAGAAAGAGAAGACAGAGGCAGGAAAAAAACGACAGAGAGACATACAGAGAAATACTTAGGAAAAAGTAAACACGCAAAATAGTGTGTAATGGGTAAGTGCTAAAAAATAAACTAACTGCACTCTCTCTACTCCCTCAGATTCAAGAATTCGTCACTGGGGCTGTGGTAGAAAATGGGGGGATTCTGAGGGAAAAAAATGCATGTGTCCCTTAAATGTTAAAATACATTTAAGCAGTACATGCAAGCATCAAGCAATTCCAGAAAAAAGCGATACTGGGAAAGATGAAATTTACCCATATCAGCCACAGTTCCAATTATCTAGCTGTTCGGATGGAAAAAATTAGGACTGTAGATTCTGAAGCTCCCTATGGATGAACTATCTGCAGATGTAGGATGAGTTTAGCCATCAGGCAACTGAAAGATCACAGTGCTATTAGGGCTGCATTTAGTTATTCAAGAAAGATACTTTATTTTAAAATATGCTATTATAATACAAAAAGTATTATTATAATACGAATCAGATTTATCCTTCATTTCTCCGTCTACTCCATGCGTTCTCAATGAGGATATTACCCCCAAGAGGGCAAAAAATGGCTCGAGGAACTAAAAAAACCAAAACAAAAAACGTATTCTTTTATGTACAAAGCACAAATGTACACACAGCATGTAAACAGATATACAGTATATCTGAGGGATTAAAATTTCATGATGGGGAGAGATTACGGGACATTAGAGAACATCTTTTAAAAAAACGTTCCTTGGAGTACTAGTGGAAAAAAAAAACTTGCATTTTTTTTTTTTAAATCAAGTAAGGTTAAGAAGAGAGACGTTCACATAATACTACCAAATCGTAGCATGAGCATAGCGTTTTCAAATACTGGGAGTGAGTGTATCAGAGGCTGTCCCGGGACAGAGGGTTGAGGTCTGATCACGTCCTGTTTTCAAGGAGAGCTCTCCGAGTCACAAATCAAATGCTCCGAGCATTACAGAGGACCAATGACGGCCTTGCGAGCAAACTCCATTACACAAGCAGCTCCCAATGGCAATGCTAAGAAGGACGCACATATTCTCAAGACTCCAGTCATCTGTCATTTATCATTTAGTCTCAAAAGGAAGCTTTCTCTCTTTGGAAGAGCTGGCAGTGACCAAGAGCCAGCAGCACAGCTTTATTACCTAACTAAACAGTACTGTTGTTAAAAAAATAATAATAAAGAAAAAACAAAAATATTAAACTAGCAGGTAAAAGACTTGGGTTTTGCTCCTGGCACCTGCTCTTACTAGTCTTGTAATCCTGGGAAAGTTAAACTCTCTCTGAATCTCAATTTCGTCTTCTTTAAAATGAAGATTTTAGTATTTCACCTGTCTTCTGCATAGGATTGCAGGAAGGACCGAATGAAAAACCATTTCAAAACACGTGTGAAAGTCCTCTTAAATGGTATCAACACACTATCAAAACGACAGGCAATGTTTTAAAAAGTTTATTTTCTAAGTATACCTAGCACCCAGATCTTGGTTTCTAAATATCATTCCCCACTAAAAGGAACGAACATTCCTTGGGAAAATGACTGATTCCAGGTTTGGAGGAAAGAAAGTACAAGAAAAGCCTGGAATATTCTTGTTCTAGGAAGCACGGAAGTACTCAAAGACCAATGGGGCCACATTTCAAAAGGACACAGACTCCCACTGGCCAGTAAGAATAACAGAAAAGAACACAGCACATTCTTAGTATATAAAGGCTCCATGAATCCATAGTGATACTGACGGGAGAGAAAAATGGAAAACTCCTCTTAGCAAAAAAAAAAAAAAAGCAAGCCAGTTAATAAATACAGAGGGAATGACAATTAGAAAATGACGATATTGCAATCCCAGCTGTAGTAACTGAATCAGGCAAGGATCATTAATAAATGCTAAAATTGAGTGAAAGGCAGATGAAAAACAGACTATTCACACAATTCTAAGTGTCACCCTAGAGACCTATTAATAAGAAAGAACTGGGAAACATGACATTCACTAAATTAATTAAACTTTGTCATTACCGAGACAGGACAAATTGACATGTTACGTCTACCGGTGGGATGCAACGGAAGTACCCGATGTCACCTTTAGAGCATTCTTACCAAAAATGCTTAACCTCACTCTAATCTTGAGCAAACTATCCAACAAATCAGAATGGGGCCTAAGCTCTTGAAAATTTAAGGGTAAACTGTTGTGATGTCCCCAACTTACTTTCAAACGATTCAGGAAAAATATATAAATGTGGGTATACCAAAGTTCATTGTATTTTTTTCAGATTCTTGGGAGGTGTGAAATGTTTAAAAATAAAAGGCTGGGAAGGGAGCAGTTTTTTTTCCTCCCTAAAAACTCTCTATATTACACGATTCTTTCAGCAAAGAGAGAAATCAGATGAAAAAATCATCAGATGAAAAAAAATGTTAATATCTTGAGGACTTTTTTGTCTTTCATTTTCCCTCAATTTTTGATTGTAGTAAATGCACATAACATAACGTACCATCTTAACCGCTTGGAAGTATATAGTTCAGTGGTTTGAAATACATTCATGGTGCATAACCATCACTATCACCCACCTCTGAAACCTCTCTCATCTTGTAAAACTGAAACTCTGTCCCCATTAAACACTAACTCCCCCTCCCCTGCTCCTCCCACCCTGCAACCACCATTCTACTTTCTGTCTACGATTGTAACTATTCTAAGTAACTCACATACGTGAAATCACACAGTTCTGGCTTTTTGCGACTGGCTTAATTTTGAGAATTCCTTCAAGAATAGGTTTATAAGCTGATCAAAGCACCAGTGAAGACAAAATCTTTAGATTCTTACAGTTTAGAAAAGGCTCTGGTTGTGCTTTAGTGGAACAAAGCTGACATCAAAAGATCTCCCATAATGCTATGCATCTAAAACTTTAACTGTATTTTTTTTGGATCAAGGAATATTTCTATCGGCAGCTGGTTGTCCAAACATCAGCACCATTTCTTGAATTGGTCTCCTCTTCCCCAAACCAGGCTGCATATAAGCTTCTGATAAGGGCATTTTGTATGTCACCAAAAAAACTCTAAATATCGGAATTTCCTATAACAAATGAATAGAGATTCCGATCCCATTGTTCTGATTTCATGGTGAACACTAGGAAAATAATGGAAGGCACACTAAAAATTAATAATTTATCAGTAGCCTTTTGTGTTTATAAAGTCCTAGCTAGTTTAACATATGCCCAATACTTATAAAGGCATTGCACTGGCTGTTCCTTCTTTAGAACATTCTCTCACCTGCCCACCCCTGTTCGCCCAGGACTGTTCCTAACGATTATCGTGGATTATCTCAATCTCCTCAATAACCCTGGGAAGGATGTTATCGATCCTCACGGCAAAGAAAAAAAAAGACTTAAAGAAATTAAAGATAACTTTCTAAAGGTCAGAGTTAGCAAGTAGTAGAAATGAGATTTGGATGCAGGCAACTAACTGGACTCCAGAGCACACTCACTTAACCACTATCCATCCACTTGTCACTCGACGAATACTTTTCACCCCTACTACGTGCCAGATGCTAGGAATACAGTGGGTCAGTAAGACAGAAGTCTCATTGGTGAGGAAGAACCAATAAACAGACACAGTACGCACTATGATGTCAGCACAGAGGAGTCCTATGAGGCAAAACAAAGGTAGGTGGTAGGTATTAGGGGCTAATGGAAGGAGACTTCTTGATTAGGTGGGCAGGGAAGGTCTCTCTGTAGAGAGGTCATTTAATCAGAGACTGAAGCCAGCATGCTGAGACCTTCGTGTGCCGGGAATGGGGGGTTACCCCAATCAAAGCAGGGCAGCAAGTATGACAGTCCCGAGATGGAAAGCAGCCTGGTGTGTCTGAGAACAAGAAAACCTGCGTGGGTGGGTGGGAGGAGCAGGAAGGACGGAGGCACAGCTGAGCTGTCAGTCAGCAGCTGGGTCACGGACGGCCTTATGGGCTACGGTAAGGACTATGGATTTTATTCTAAGAGCAGCCTTTGGGTGCTTCGGAGCTGGGAAGTAGTATGTTTTAAAAATACCGCCCTCAGTGGAGAACAGCCTGGAAGCAAGGACAGCAGTCACGAGGCCATCACAGCGGTGCTGAGGAAGATGGTGGTGGCTTGGTCCAGAGTGTCAGCGGCAAAGGTGGTGAAAAGGGAATGGAGCTGGGATATGTTTTACAGGCAGAGGAAATGTGACCTATGATGACCTGATCATGGGGGGAGTGACAAAAAAAGGAGAAACTGAAAATGACTCTTGGATTTTTGGCCTGAGCTAGTCGCTCTGGTTAAGACGGTTTAAGTGTGAGATGCCAGTTAGCTGTGTGGATGTCAGGTCACGGTTGTGTGTCTGCATCTAGCGGTCAGGGCCGAGGTCCAGGCTGGAGGGCATATCTGAGTCCACACAGGAGCCAGGGTGGTGGTTTGCAGACAGATCGCCTGAGACTGGGCCTGGGTCTCTCCTCGGTAGCTCTGCGATGGGAAAGCCATAAGCTGGGAATGGCGATACCTACTTCACAGAGCGGATTCGATGAGCTGATGCACATAAAAGGTTTACTGGTGTAATAAATGCTCAACACGAGTTATTATCTTCATCATCATCTGTGTGAGCATGGAGGGAAAGGCCACAGAAATGCATAAGATCACCTGGGAGAATGGACAGATACAGAAATAGCCAACGTCTGTGGCCACAGAGACCACGAAGGAGCTGCCAGTGAGGTCAGAGGAAAATAAGAAACCAAAAGAACAGTGTCCTAAGAACTAAAAAGCAGGCAACTGTGTCAAATGTCAGACATATTTAGTAAGATGAGGACTGAGAAAACACCTGCAGATTTGTCACTGAGGAGATCTCCAGGTCCTGCTAAGAGTGGCTTCAGTTAGGTG